AAAAATAATAACAACCCACCAAAATGGACGTGAACCCGTAAAAATTCCTTGCCAAATCTCAGTATATCACCATGTTCAATCTCTCGCTCATCGTTTGCCTAAAAATTTGAAGGGACCATTGAAATGTGTCTGAATATAAATAAACATGGGAATTAATCCGTGGAAACAGTGCAACTACGTTCACTACTGAAGACTCGATTCCTTGTAACCAATTGTAGCTACCTTTTGAAGCAGTATTCATGCGCAAAATGAGCAAAAAAGGCGGAATGCTCTCGCAAAAAAAACCAACGCGCGCCTAGCTGGCAATTTCTCATAAGCTATGGACGGTGCGATGATCGAAATTGCTTTCATAGAAAAAATTTCCTTAGATAAAAAACAGCTTACCAACAACTCGTAGTCATTCAACATAACATGCCCTTTGTCGGAAAGCTTGTTCACAACAAATGAGTTACTTTCCGGAACAAACACAAATTCGAGCAGTTTCTAAAACGGAACTTTGACAAGAACGTTATGAAATCAAGAAACCTAAAACATAACTAACCCTCGAAGATAGATGGATCATCGATAACAATATCACATCCGGACTGTCTTCCTACGACTCCACCACAAATAGTGACAACGTGGAGATTATTCTTGGAATCCATGATCCGTAGCAATGGAGGCTGTGAAAACCTTTCATCTATAATGGGAGAGACTCATCCGCGGTCTGCTGACTGATCTTTATTGAAAAAAGAAAAAACTTCACAAAAAGCAGAGCAGAAACGAGGAGGCTCGTGCCCAAGATCATCGAAATTATACAAAAAAAGTAATGAGATAGAAAACATATACGGCACACCTTCCCGCATTTGTATCCGTTCATCCTCTTCTTCGCTAGTGCTCTCGCAATAATCTTCACTCAAAATTTTGGCATCTCCGACACCGTTTTTTAAGTCTTCTCGTGCCCTTCGCCGCCTTTCCTTTCTTCTTTCTTTGTTGCCTAAATCAAAGCAGAGAGCTTTGACGAAATAACGCAACGGCTGAACCAATGTTGCATTACTTCAAAAAGCACTGTGAGAGATTCCAAAAGAATTCAGAAGACCCCAAGGAACCCTCCAAAATATTTCTTTGGAACTTCCGTCACATTTCGGTGCGTGGCACCTTCACCAGGCATTGGTCTGGCTCAAATAATGTGAAGGTATGTGGGAAAGCTACGGTGAAGCTTACCAATGTATGACCAAGGTGTTGACTTCGGCATATCAGAAAGTTTCAAGGAATATTTGGATCTGTTTTAGAGCTTTTGAACTTTTTTGGATACTCATGTAAGACCCCTTTGTGAATACAACATTTTGATCGTAGAGAGGCACTCAGACAAAGCGACAATAAGGCAAAACCAACGCTTTAAACCACAAAAATCCTTAATTGCGACTTTTCTCAAGTTCTTCGACATACCTTTGATTTGGCCATTTCCTTGTGGCACAGAAATGATTTCGCCTGTAGCTTCATCAAAGTAATCCAATGAGGCCATTTCTGCATCGCAGTGGTCCTTTCTCTGGAAAGAACTTGGGGTCTTTTTTACAGGTACTTCTTTGCTTGACATTTGTATATTTTGATCTACTCTAAGTGGTCGGCAAATATTTTATGTTGATTCGAAGATAAAGAGAAGATAATCAAGCGAAAAATTGACAAGATAACCAGCATTGAAGAAAACCAAACTATTCCCCATGAAGTGAAAACGGGAAGAAACAAAATAGAAGAAACTGCGAAAGATGATCTCACCGAAGAAGACGGAGTTGAATGCGTGCCAGGCCCACACTCTCCATCGTCTCCGTCTTCCAGGCTAAGCTTTGACGTGAGATCGAACACGACCTCACAAACATCGACAGCATCCTGATCTAATCGGTCGAGCGCCCCGGCAAACAACTTCTTTGCTTTCTTTTTATTTGAGCGAGATGTCCACTGGGCTGAAAATTATTGAAAAAAGTGATTGATTGTAAATGGACTGAAGTAGAGCAATCTACCTATATCCATAAGATGAAAACAGGTTTGCGCTGATTCAGAACGTTTGCCAAATAAGCCAGTTTGAAACAGGAAATAGAAATTGCAAGAGTAGGACAGGGCTTAGAAGACCGAATCTTGTAATTAACACCTGCTACGAGCGTTTGCTTGCAAATGCACAGCGCATACGGAGAGCAGCGGCAAGTGTTCGAGTGCTCCTCTCAGATTACAGACATACTACCCATGCGCGTGAAGCGTCCAACATACAGTCACAAGCTTTGGAAAAAAAGCTTCCCGCCATAAATACCCTTGGCCGACTTCATCTGATTTGTAGTGATTAAGGTTTAATGTACACCAAAGGATAATATCCAATCACAAAAAAGCTTTATAGGTTAAAACCACTTCCCAGATATAGCGATGTGCTCACAAATTGAGGGTTTTAAGTTCGTCTTGAGGAAGGAAGGCGGAACGAACCGTATCAGTATTTGTTAATAATGGGTTTTTCTTTCTTAATTAGGTTCATTGTCTGACAATATGGCAGCAATATGCAATGCCGATATCACCACGAATATAGGATTATCCCCGTAAAGTCACCCTAACGCCAAGCGCGGGGCAAAACTGGCTTCAAGAGGAGAGTAAAGCATTTGGCCCATAACTCAATCCACTTGTGATAGAAAACACACTGGAAACAGCTCCAATTCTCAATAGCTATGGTCAAAAAAGGGGCGGAGAAAGACTCACTTTTTCGCATGCACTTATAAACCTCATATTGCTGGAGTGTCGTCGTTAAATATGTAATAAGTCTCCGATTCGCTGTGATAAAAAAGTCCAGTATTCTAAACAAAAGAAAATCACAATGAGGAACTTCAATGACCGTAATAAGCGAAGAATACTTTCCCTTTTATGTTGAATGCTAATCGAAAAAGAAGCATAAAGAAATCAAAACAAGATTGCTAAACAAACCGGGTCATAGAAAAATCCACAACTGGGTGAGTAGTACTGCCCGTAGGCCTCTATCCATTGAAACCCTTCAGGAACGCGTGAATGCAACACTTCATTCGCTGCATCGCGAATCATATCGGCGATACTCGATGACTAAATAATGTTTTCTATTGGTGAAGGTGAAATGATAAGGACACCATTTCACCGTGAACATTACGGTGCCAGCTTTGAAAGTCGCTCAGACACTCATAATAGAACGACAGAAATGGGACGCCAGCTCGTTAAATAATCGCTCAGTGGGTTCAGTTAGGAGAGCAATCGACCATCTAACACATTTCGAAATAGTTGAGCATCCGCCACGCAATCGTGGACTATGTCAACTCAGGGGAGCCGGGTAGGGCACGCGTTTCGTAGCAAGAGTTGGCGAGTGCGAGCTTACAGCGACCCTTTCTTCTTCGCAGATAGAGCCATCTCTTGAAAATGCCATCGTTTTTAAACACTCACTCCTGCATTGAGAGAAAATTTCAAGGAAA